CCCCAAAACCCCAAAACCCCAAAACCCCAATGAGCTAATTTCATTTGGAGTAGATAAAAGTATAAGTTCTAATTAATTCATAAATTCTTTGCAATTGATAATTCTGGCCAACCAAATATCTATAAATCCTAATAGTCTCTAGTCCAAGAGCCTTGTCCAAATTGTCTTCCAATTAATCTAATAGTCACATTCTTAATTTCACCTTTATCTTCAAATTTGAACTCAGTATCATAAATATTCGTATAAGTTGGATTTTCAATTAACACATCCTGATTTCCTTCTAAATTATTAAACTTTGAGAATATTTTCCCATAGTAGAATGGTCCTGTCTTGAACAGGACTGCTCCGACTGCCTTATACATGCATTCATTGATAAAATAAGGTCTCTTAGCGGCATCCATCTATGTAAAGTCATTAAATATTTCGAGATAAGTTTTGTGAATTATATGTCCTGGCTTAGAGCCGAATCCCCAAGTGGTAAAATATTACACGTCAAACTCTCTATCTCTAAAGCCGAAAAAGTCAAAATAATAGTTGAGATTGGCATCCCATTCCTCGATGTAAAAATCCATATCAAGATAGAGTCCACCTTCATCGTAATTTATCAACATTCTGAGAATATCACAAGCAACTCCGACTCCAATTCCGTCAATCATGTAATTATCTATCGTCTCCCTAATTTGACCTTTATAATTAGGCAATTCTTTAAGTTCTCTAACTTCCACTCCGATCCTTTTGAAAAATTTTACAGTTTCTGGAATAAGTGTTTTATCTTATGTCCAAATATAGTGATCCCACTTTTAGCCAACTTTAGAGGCAGATGAATCTAAAACTTAATTAGTCTTTGATAGCTGGTTTACAAGAAATACATCCTTAAATATTGTGAGCATTTCTCGAGGATTATTTAAATCTGTGACCCATATTCTATGAGACTTAAATGGAATTCTTGGTTACTCTGATTTTTTATAAACTCTATCTACAAAAGTGGATGGCTCCCCAGCTTTTCTGAATTCTTCATATTCATGATTATGATCAATGTTGAATGAATTTGTTTGCTTAGTAAGGTATCTATCCATTTCTCTTTAAAAAAGCTTGAAGAAAGTGTATGTGGTTGAAGTCGGTCTTGGTATCAAGCAGAAGCCAAGCATGTTAATTATTGTCAGAATTTTCTAAACCCCATACCCATCATTTAAGTAGAAGATTTTTTCTTTTATTTCAAGTTCGAATGAAGATTAGTTATCCTCACTTAATACGAGATTTAGAAGGCAAAAGCTCAAACTAACTAATACAAAATGTGAATATCTTATTCTCATATTTGAATTATATAAAATTTATCTCAATTTCCAAAGATATAAAAATTAGAATGATGGGGTTTTGGGGTTTTGGGGTTTTGGGG